CGAGAAAAAAAAGAAAAGAAAAAAAAAACCTTTTAACAAAACTTTCAGAGAACTTAGTACGTTCTGATGAAAGGGTAGCCTATGTATAGGCCACGGCTAGATAGACGTTTGAGAATACATCGCTTGTTTTACTGAAGAACATTTATTTGAGTGGTGCACTTGCCCAATTGCCCATATGGTTAACCTGCCTATGCCCAGATGCATATGATTTTCTTTCTTCAGATGAACGGAAAGATTTTTAGAAAAAACGACTGTAATTGATACAAGCATCAGTTCTGGCCATGTGTAAAGCGTGTTGTGAAACCTGACATAAAACGAGAACTCATTAACCCTGTGTGTGACAGTTGGCCAAAAGCAATGGTTTTGGTAGTTTAAAAAGTGTAAAATATTAGTTTCCCACTGTGTTCACTTTGTATGAACACAACCATCTTTGTGGTAATAATCTTCATTTGTGTTTATCTAAAGTAATATACATTAGTGCTGTCAAAAGATTAATCGCATCCAAAATAGAAGGTTTTGTTTACATAGTATGTGTGTGTGCTGTGTATATTTATTATGTATACATAAATACAAACACATACAGTATATATTTTGAAAATATTTACATGCATTTACATGTATATATTTATATTCATATAATTTATATTATATATAAATATATTTCATATATAAACATAACATATTTTTCTGAAATATATACATGCATGTGTGTGTATTTATATATACATAATAAACATGCAAAGTACACACACATATATATTGTAAACAAAAACTTATTTTGGATGCAATTAATCGCGATTAATCATTTGACAGCACTAATACACATCTGGGACAGCAGGAGGGTGAGTATATGATGAGAGAATTTCATTTTTGGGTGGAGTTTCCCTTTAAGGTAGGAGCATGTTTTTTATCTAAAAAAAACTACTTTCAAATGAAACAAAGCAACAACATCCAATTCATTCAAAAACTACACTCTTTAATCACTTTGTTTTGTTAAGAGCTCCACAGTCACAGACCTGAACTCTGACAATTACCAAGCTAAAACACCACGATGATTGACCATGTCCAAACAGCGTTTGAAGATGTCCGCGAACACACAAACAGGCTAAATTGGCATGTTTTTGTAGTTAAACGACCTGCTGAACAGACACACAGCGATCGCAGCATGATGAATGATGAAGACACTGGTGAACGGCCAGGAGAGGCTTGTGAAAGCGAAGAGAAACGACTGAGGTATCTCTCGCTATTAGCCTGTCGCTCCTTTTAATTCATTCTTGAAGAAAAACTTTCCCTGTGCCTCGTACCAAAAACAGAACGTGAAAACATTTGGAAGGCACATTCTCAAACTCTACCCTTGTCTAAAGCATTTCGACATACTGTACACAATTCAACGTTGTATGTTGTTTTTACATACCAGCGGCTCTTATCACGAACGATGCCACAAACAAGGGGCTCCCTATGGTGGTCTCTGCCTGTTTATATTCATTGCCTGCTGATTAAGTGTTCTCTTCACTGCCGCCATCAATGCATTGAACGCCACTTCATGCCCTTCACGTAGAGGTAATTAGTTAAGGCTGTCTCCTATCATACCTACTGACAGCAGCTGTGAATCTGCAGACGGCAGTAAAGCTCAAGGTTCTGTTCGAGGCTTGTTCTATTGATCTGCACCCCGTCTCCTTTTACCAGTTTAATGACCCCCTTGATTTTCAGCAGAAAGGGTAATACAATATTGAAATGTCAGATGATTAATGCCATTGTTCTTTTGTCTGTTGAGGGTCTTGTTGGGGAAGGTGACAAATTTCTTGCCCTTTTTGCTTTTTGGTCTGGTGGCGCACCGGGGCGGCCTGATCCATCGGAGGGAGGGAAATGCAGAGAGAAGGAACAGAAGAGCAAAGGAGGTGGAGAAGAAGACTATGACACCACACAGTGGACGGGATGGCTTGCTCTGGTTCTGCGGTCAGGGAATAGATTGGATAAATCCATCTTCATTAAGTTGATGGGAAGAAGTAGAGAGATGCCACCTGGTGTGTGTGTGTGTTTGCATGCATGCATTTGTGCAACAAGCTCTAAGAAATGTGCTGCATGTGTAAACTAATCATTTAAAATATACATTCAATAGGTGTCTTCAAAGTGTATACGTAATACAAGAATGCACATGTTAATAGTTCTACAATGAAACATTTCATATTCAGTGCATAGAGAAATAAGTCCAGATGGGTGGAGTATGTATTTCTATAGCATTTCACAGATGCATGGATCTTAGCTTGTATTTGCAGCAGGGATGCTAATCCAAGATCAAGATCAGGGTTACATCAATAGGTCCACTGAAACAATTACAATCTTACGCTCTCAAAAAAGACAACAGCAGGTTGTCAGGAGATTATCTTCTGATGATCTCAACATGTTCTCATGTTAAACATTTCAAACAGCGTTCAATGGCAATGAATAAAAGTCATATTTCTTACCAGCCATGAAAATATATTAAAAATTAAAACGAATATATATATACATATACATACATATATATACAGTATCTCACAGAAGTGAGAACACCCCTCACATTTTTGTAAATATTTTATTATATCTTTTCATGTGACAACACTGAAGAAATTACACTTTGCTACAATGTAAAGTAGTGAGTGTACAGCAGAGGCGGACAGTAACTAAGTACATTTACTTGAGTATTGTACTTAAGTACACTTTTTGAGTATCTGTACTTTACTTGAGTATTATTTTTTCTGGGAACTTATGACTTTAACTTCACTACATTTGAAAGACAAATATTGTACTTTTCACTCCACTACATTTCTATCAAGGTCCTCGAAGTAGAAAGTCGTTACTATGTAGCAGCTTTGAAAGTCAGTGGGTGATTTTTTTCTTCTCTAAAACGTGACTGTTTATCAGTAATCAATCTTGGGGCTACATGAAGTGATTTCCCAACATTTTTTGAACACTGACCAGGTGCAAATGTGATATTTATTTACAACAATTCAATAATAAGAAGTTAATATTGCGGTATATATTAGACACAATATTGTCTGATTTTGCTAAATCG